GAGACGCTATTTAGTGATAAATTAACAGCCAAATCCCAGAGGTTTGGACGTGGGTTTAGTGCCTATTGTGTAACTTGGCCAAGAAAATACTTCCTATGAATTAAAGTAAATATTAAGTTGCAGAGACTAAATATAAAATCATTTACCAGTAGATATCATTCCCAAAATCTTTCAATTTTCATAAAGTAACCCTAAGAAATGATCTCCAACATCCAGAATTTCACTAAATGAATGAGTAAGGTTTGAAAGAAAACCCTGATCCCAAACTGAGTAAAACCCATTCTTTAATGGGATTCCAAAATGGTACAAGTTGTAAAGATACTAGTATGATTTCGAATTGCAATCGCTCGCTACATTAACAAGGAAACCTAATTCGCAATAATCGGGATCAAAAATCTGAAATTGACGACACTGTTTTCAAGCGCGTTAATCCTCATTAGAAACAACAAGGCAAGAATTTTCGTCGATGAAAGCATTCAACCCCGAACACCCTTAAAATTAAAACATTTTTTTTCTGGAAATTAACAAAAAGGAAAGAAGGGTACCTTGCTGTGACTAGCGAGCGATGGGTAAAAGTTTCGGTGAGATTCGATGGCGAGAGAAAAATATTTTGGAAGGGATAAGATCCATACAATAACGCTGGCTCCTAACTCTTCCCCCCCCGCACCCCCCCCCTCCCCTCCATCCCTCAATTATCTTGTGTCTTTGTTGTGGCAAGAAAAAAAGAGCGGGCCTCACGCGTTGAGATTCGTGCTCTCCGTCTGATATGATGACGAGCATGACGCTTCAAATTAATTCTATTTTTAAAATCTGATATGAGCCCGGTGTACTATAAGTCTATAACAAATGAGAGATGGGATGTGGTTGGAGGTGTGGTTGATGGTGTGTCCCTATCATTTTCCGACAAATAGACAGCGAAACTAGAGTTCGTTGCATCCGGTTATCTTAAACTGTAACCACATGAGTAATATTAGAGTTTGTGTATATCCATATGATTTGCTTGAGATCAATCATTATAATTACGAGCGTTATGCTCGTGCTCCGACCGATTGATTTAATTTTTTTTATTTGTATATCTAATTTTTTCTCTGTAAATTTAATTTTTGGTTATGGCCTTGCTTCTAGAAATTGCAATTGCTTCTATTTAAAAATTTTAAATTATACTAAAAAAATTTTCCTTTGCACTGTTGCTCCTTACTCAAAAGTAAATAATTTAAGTCAGAGTTTTTTTATTCTTATAACAGAAATACAAAATAAGGGCACGGATAATTTTTATATCAAAATTTAAAATTCAAATTAGTCGACTTAATCGTCAATCCCTCATCTTAGGACACCCCTGATTTTTATAATATTTCAAAAGAAAAAAAGAAAAAAAGAAAAAAAACAAGAACACTACCTCACTTAATAAGTGTGTGTGGATAGTTTTCTTTTATTTTTTATATTCAAATTAGGGATGGACATGTGGCAATTTTTTTGAGATGAAAGGCTACAGTAAAACATAAATTACTCACCGTGAGTGACCCAGACAATTGAGAGATTCCAATATGGCACTCATGATCTTAGGTTCGATTTCGGGATAGATTATAAAAAATATCATGATCATTATTCTTGGATTCAGATCATTTCCAATTACATGGTAATTGAAGAAGATCTAATTCTTTAAATGCTCACCCTAAATCTCAAAGGATAAAATGATGTCATATGTCATTTTTACTATTAAAGTAGTGGTTTTCTAAATACCATGGGAGGTTTTGTAACAGCAATTTCGTTTATAAAAAAAAGTAAATATTACTAAAAAAGGGAAAATTGCTTCAAAGCCCCAAAACTCAATGTCTATTATGCTGCAGCCCCCCTTACTTTCCCTCTTTTTTAAAAAAATTACGTCCAGGCCCCTCCAGTCCAAAATCCCGATTTTGCCCTCCCTTCACCTCCATCCTCCTCCTCCTTTGTCGGTCCCCCTTTGCCCCTTCCCCCGCGCCGCCTCCCTCCCCCGCTCCGCCTCCCTCCCTCTCCCCACCTCCGCTTCCCACCGCCGCCTCCCCGTTCCCCCACAGCCGTCCTCCCTCCCACTCCCCCTCTTCCCAAGACCCCCCACGCTCCCTCCCACCCGCCTCCCTCCCCTCACACACGGCTCCTCCTCGCCCTCCCCACCCCATCCCCCCCTATGTTGCGCCTCCTCCGCTCCCCACGCCGCCTCCCTGCCCCTCCCAGATCACACCTCCTCCCATTGCTGCCCCACTTGCCGCCTTTCCCTCCGCCTCTGCCACACGCCGCCTCCTCCGCCTACCCTCCTCGACCCCCTTTCCCCAGGCCCCCCCACCTCCCGTACCTCATGTCGCTCTCTGCCCTTCTCCTTTTCGCCCATGCCCCTACCTCCCCGTACGCGCCACGCTGCCGTCCCTCTCCTCCCCCGGCTCCCGCACCCCTCCCTCCTCACCCACGCTCACTCCCCCGTCTGCACCTCCCCGCGTGCCCACTCCCCACGCCTCCCGTCCGTTCCCCAGCCTCCCCACCCACTTACACCTCCCCCTACACCTCCTTCCTCCTCCTCCGGTCCCCCTCTGTCTTTCCCCTGTTCCGCCGCCTGCGTCGTCCCGAGGAACTTTGCGTGGGCACATTAGTAAGAGTTAACATGTTAGCTGTAAGAGTTAACATATTAGCTGTAAGAATTAACATGTTAGTTGTAAGAGTTAACATGTTATCTGTAAGAGTTAACATGTTAGCTGTAAGAGTTAATATGTTAACGGTAAGAGTTAACATCCGCTGGCATGAGAAAAATAAGGGTAAATTTAGGATTTAAGCCAGCTGACATGTCTAATCATGAGCTGACATGTCTAATCAACTGCTAGTATGAGTTGGAATCATGATGGAGGGGCCTTGGGCACATTTTTTTTAAAAAGGGGATAAAGCACATTAAAAATAAATAGAAGGGGTTGGGGCACATTAAAAGTTCAAATTTTGGGGCCTAGAAGTAATTTTCCCAACTCAATTTCTATTGTGCTGCAGCCCCCCTTACTTTCCCTAATATGTTGCAGCCCCTCCTTTTTTAAAAAATTGCATCCAGGCCCCTCCAGTCCAAAATCCCGATTTTGCCCTCCCTTCACCTCCCTCCTCCTCCTCCTTTGCCGGTCCCCCTTTGCCCCTTCCCCCACGCCGCCTCCCTCCCCCGCTCCGCCTCCCTCCCCTCCCCCATCTCCCT